TATTTCACCTCCGGTGTTAGTTTTGGCAATCCACTTTGCCATGGTGCCGACAATGCACATTGAACTCTTGGGATGGATTCTTATAGCCATGGTGCCGACGATGTAGCAATACACACTTTACTTCTTGTGTGGCTTTTGGAGCCATGATGCCGAAAATGCACACTGTACTTCCTTGTTGGCTTCTGATAGCCATGGTGCCGACAATGCACTGCACTCTTTTGATGGCTTTTTATAGCCATGGTGCCGACAATGCACACTGTACTCTTTGATGGCCTTTGTTAGCCATGGTGCCGACAATGCACACTGTTCTCTTTTGATGGTGTTTTATAGCCATGGTGCCGACTATGCACACTGTACTCTTTTGATGGCGTTTTATAGCCATGCTGCCGACAATGCCCACTGTACTCTTTTGATGGCGCTTTATAGCCATGGTGCCGACAATGCACACTGTACTCTTTTGATGGCGTTTTATAGCCATGGTGCCGAGAATGCACACTGAATGCACACTGAACCCTTTTGATGGTTTTTGATAGCCATAGTGCCGAGCATGCACACTGTACTCTTTTTGAGGATGTTTATCCATGGTGCCTACACTGCACGTTGTTTTGTTAGATACCAAATACCACCAGCAACATGGATTCTCTTGAAGTCATGTGGGCGCAAATCCAGTTGCAGAAATGGCGGTGTTCTGTGGATTCTTCACAATGCTGATTGTGTACATCGGTGCATCGTTTCTCTTCAACAGAATTCATGCTGAAATCAACTATTTTTCAGAAGTATCTAGATGTCGGCACCAACCAATCCAAGAGTTTCTAAAAGGAAATCCAGATTACCTTTGAGTACTAATTCTATGAAGAAAAAGGCAAATGGTGGATCTAGTAACATCGCTGAAGAATCTAGTAGTTCTGTTGGTGGATCTACAATTGATGCTGGTGGACTTCATGTATGCAGTCTCTCCCAAGAAGCCGAGGATTGAATTGTGGATAAACTCTTTAATAAACTTTCAAACCATGGTCTTCTTCAAACTTCGGCAGTTGGTGAAGTGTTATCCAATCAACAAGCGGGGGCTATATCATCTGAAGATATACCGTCTAACCTTTCTTTGGATGGGAATATATCAGGTACTTCTGATTTGAGTATTGGGAACAATCCCTCTACTTCTAACTCTATATATTCTTATAATCTGGGTATATCTGCCCATGTGTCAGATAAGCTCAAATCCTGTATTTGGCAGAAAGTTTTTGTAGAATTTTCCTCGTTATTGCCTGAAGGACTATCTGAAGGATTCAATATCGATATTGAAAACTCTGGAAATGACAAACTTCTAAAGATTGTTTCAAAACCTAAGTCAAAGGTGCTAAACATAGAAAATTGGCTCAAAGCATTCCACATTTTCATGGATATATATTTGCAGAAATATCCAAATTCTTATTCGGGGCTTTTAGCCTATTCTGCACTCATACAGGATTTGAGTAAATCTTATGGCCAAAAGGCATTTCTATTTTATGATTCATCTTTTAGAAATCACATGCAGTCTCAGCCACTTCAGTGGGGAATTTTGCATTCTGAACTTTGGCTGCGTGTCACAACACTTTACGGAGCCCGTTCTCAAAATAAGGAACCTCCAAAGCAAAAACGTATGTGTTACGCCTTTAATCAGAAAAACGGTTGTACGCGTACAAAATGTACGTACAATCATCTCTGTCTGAAGTGTGGTGGTCAATCATACTCGTTGTAGGTATTTTAAAACAGATGTATCTAAGAGTTTTAATCAGGACGATTCTGAATGAATCCAATCTTCAAATAATTCCTTTCGTGCCTCTCGCAAACAAAACACACAGCCACAGGCTACCAACGCCGATACATCCTCATAAATTGTATAATGTTCTTGATGGTTATGATTCTATAGAACGAGACTTCCTAGTGCGTGGTTTCCAGGAAGGTTTTCAGCACCTCCCTTTAAGAGTATTATTTGTTCACCTCTTGGTCTCGTTCCGAAGTCATCTAGTGCAGACGGAAAACTCTCCTATAGAGTCATTCACGATCTTTCATTTCCGAATGGTAACTCGATTAATTCCTTCATAGACAAATGCTTCACGGAAGTTGCATACGATTCTATCGATGACGTTATTTCTATTGTCAAAATGTTGGGCCGAGGGTGTCTCATGGCCAAAAGCGATATTCTCGATGCTTATCGTCATACCAATTCATCCCTCCGATTACAAGTTACTGGGTTTCACCATTCAAAATGGCAAAAATTTAAACTATTATTTTGATACTTTTATTTACAATTTTAACGGAAAATGTATGTTTCTGTACGACAATTGGTTATCTTCAGATACTATCAAATTGTATACAGACGCCGCGTCGACCAAAGGGTTCGCGGCAGTTTTCAGTTCTCGATGGTTCGCTTTTCCTTAGTCCAATGAATTAAGATCTATGCACATCAATGCCATGGAGCTGTTTCCAATAATAGTTGCTATGGAAACGTGGGGAGCATTAACGAAAAATCACAAAACAATTTTTCTAACCGATAACGAAAGCACCAAATTTGTCATAAATAAAATGTCCTCTAAGTGTCCGCTAATGATGCGCCTCGTTCGCAGATTAGTTATTACTACCCTTACTCATAATATTGTTTTTAAATCAAAACACATCCCCGGGAAAATAAATACTTTGAGTGACTCTTTATCTCGTTTGATGTTTCAGAAAGCCAGGGAAATAGCACCTTATTTGGATTCGGAGCCTTTTCCCGTTCCACTGCAGTTTTTGTCGGTTTAGATGGAGTCGCTTGTAAAATCCTGGAATCTGCAATGTCACCGTCGACATTGACCTCTTACAAAAATTATTGGTTGAAATTTACTCAATTTTGTCATCATAGAAATTATCCTACACTGTTGCCGATTACTCAGATTTGTTTAATAAATTTTTTGGCATTTTTATTTGATTCTGGGTATGCTCCCAGCACCATTGCCTCTTCAGCATCTGCTATAGAGTATGTGCATAAATTATCTTCTCTCGAAAATTCGTCCGATTCCTTTTTGGTTAGGAAATTTATCAAAGGTGCCCAAAATTTGAAACCTTCTACAGATAGTCGACTTCCAATTACTAAGGGATTGCTGAAGCGTTTGGTAGATGCTATACCGATAGTCGTATCCCTACATTCTCACCAAATTTTGATTAGAGCCATATTTACTCTCAGCCTTCCTTCGTATGGGTGAAATATGCTTGAAATCAAACAAGGATCCATCCTTCGAAATTCAAGTGTCGGATTTGAGTATACAGGTGATAAACCTGTTGGTTTAAAACTTAATTTACGTAACTTTAAGCATAAAAAATCAACATCTCCTGTGTGCATTCATATATCAGCAATGTCTGGCGATTCAAGTTTATGCCCAATTATCTGTTTACATACTTATTTAATTTTATGTCCTCATGAAACTGGCCCACTTTTTCAATTAATGGATGGATCTCCAATTTCGTATTCTTTCATAACTAAAAAACTGAAAAATATTTTAGAATTCTTGAATTTGAATCCTAAGCTTTACAAATCGCATTCGTTTAGAATTGGCGCCGCGAGTAGTGCATTTATTTACGGTCATTCAGAGGACGCCATTCGTTGTTAATGTGTCAATAAGTTCCAAAGCTTTTACGTCAGATCGGAAGGTTAGTCACAATATTCCATTTTGAAGGAAAGCTTTGTTCCACAATATGTAGGTAGCGTAATGCAATTCAGTTAATGTTATGTGGAATTGGTATCAATGCGTTCGCTCAGCGCAAGCTTTGTAGGGTCTCTTTGCATTACGTATGAGCACAGGTTTCTGAGTAAAATATCAGTTTTTCCTGGGTGGCATCGAAGTCCGGTGATCAAAGGTGTTCCGCTAACATTGTTGTAGGTATATGTTTAGACGCTATAATATTTTATTTAGATTTTAACACATTTTGTTTTTGATGTTTTAAATGATTTACTACTTATGGGTTTGAATAATTGCATCCTTTAAGACGTCAGCACGAGGCTGGTCATTAGGGTCAAGATCTGTTTTGGTCAAACTGTATCGCGTGTGTGTTTTGAGTTTTTTGCGGACCTTGGATGGGTGGGTCTTCACGTTAACGTGATGACTTTGGCGGAATTTTATCTCCCATCTTTTCGATGGCTTTGTATATATTTTAAATTCTTTTGTTATATTCAAATTGCATTACAATTTATTTGCATATTGTTATCGTCATTTATCTTAAATTTGAATAAATGATATTTACGCAATTTGTAGTTTAAGATTTGCCATCTCAAACGAGCAAGGTCCACAAAACACTTGTTTGCATAGGGGGTTGGAAGCGACACAAAAATCGTCAAATTCAATCTTGACTAAGATCTCATCATTATTAATGATCACACCCAATTTCATTTAAATCGAATGAAAACTGAAGTCTCTATTGTGTTCACAAACAAATTTTGAAGCGTTTTTCAAGGGCAATAACCATTCATCGAAAAATCTTCGAATTCGAACTTGACCAAGACCTCATGAATATAAATAATCACACCAAATTTCATTAAAATCAGACGGACGGACAAGTGCGACAACAATATACAACCACATTATAATGTGGGAGTATAAAAAGCTACCTTCTTCCAAAAACCTGCATAAGTAAAAAAAACAGTTTTACTCAATTTCATTTCCAGTGATTTGAGACAAGGGAGTGAGGTCTTCACACAAGAGTTTGTAAGAATTTTCACACACAATATCAATTTTCAAAAAGCTCTCAGACCAGCCCGCGACCCCAAGAAAATAAAGGGTTCTTTAGCGTAATAAAACTTTATTGCAAAATCCATGCAGTATAAAACCCCTATGTGAACGTTGTATAAGGGAGATAACTTTATTTGCAAACGGCTATTCCTAGAAACGGTGAGCGGTTTACAGAGAAGTATTATCAAGGTTACTAGTGTTTATTAATTAATCGATAACCATGATTAGTTATATGAATCAGCATTAAATAATGATAAAATGGTAGTTTTCCCAATTCATTTTCCGACTGGAGTAACGTTTCAGTTTCAAGATCAATATTTCCTTAATACAGGTAAGTATATTATTATTCAAAATATCTGTGGTATGTCCTTCAACGATATTCATTAAATTTATTTTAGAACCATTTTATAATTATATTTTCGTACAAAATTGTTATAATGTAAACTATACTTCTCAAACATACAGTGGTGACAACTATTATAGTCGAACAAAGATAATACTCGACCAATTCGAAACATAAAATAAAGAATCAACTTTTATACGGGTACAATGAATAGTTTGTTAAACTATATAAATAAAATTACACTGTGTTCGTCGCCAACTGAACTGCTTAAAATTAAATCTTTGTTTGACTAAAATATAGGCCAACTATACGAAATGTAGTTGTATTATAGAAGTAATATAGGTCACGTCAATCCCAATGAAAATCAAAATTACAATACATTGCAAAATATCATTTTAGCTTCAAAAATTATTATCTGACTTGTACCAGTCATTACTGTATAATAATGATTATAATTTGTTGCATAAACTAAACTAGTTGTCGAAGCAATATAAATTATCAAATGTAACCGTGTCTAGACATGTTGTTAGATAATATAGCATTAACATGTAATATACCTTTATCATAATAAACCACACACACACCGTTTAACATTCAGGATATAAAATTGATAAAATGATATATAAATATTTTTTGGTTTACAAATATATATTTACAAAAAAGATACATATTTCATTACTTACAAGAATATCTAATATATAGAATTATCTTACCTACTATATGAAAAATAGAATTTAAATTAATAAAAGGGATTGCATCAAGGTTTTTTTATATTTTTTTTATGTATATCGGGGACAGTTATCAGCATCAATTTGCACGATTCCAATTTTCTACTTTATAGAATATTATAAATATGGCATCCGCGGATAGAAATATCAAAATATACACTGTCAAAACTTGCGGGAATTGCCAATTTTTTTCTGTTTTTAAAAAGGCTTAATTGTTGTTATGTCCCCTGAAAGCGTCATGGACAGGTATACGATATATTCTATATATAAAATGGGGAATTCCAAGTTTAAAAATAAATAAATCGAATACCTGCCTTAAAAAGTAAAAATCCTCAGTTTGAAGATATTTTAAGGTAAGATATGATTAATATATGAGTGATTAAGGGATGTGGTTTGAACACGAAAGCAGTCTATTCGTAAAACAGTATTGCTTAACAGATCTATATTGTTATAGGAAATTTACTGCATAGTCTACTTCTGTGTTGACATACTTATCTTATAAAAACACACGACAATGTTAATAAAGCACCCAACCCTGTCCGTTTTCCCTACTAGTAGCACATATGAATCACCGATTCTAGAACGGTATTAGCAAAGATAAAAGCCATAAGGCGTCTTTAAAAGGTCAGGTAAAAAGCCAGGTAATACTAAACCTATAGGTATGATACAGTCGATCAAATTATTGTAGTTAACACGCATGTGTGATGTTCTTTGAATAAATTAACTACAGATTTTAAAACGCTAATATAGCGTGTGTAAATGCCATAATTCACCTTTTTAAAGGCCATTGTAGTTAAAGCTAGTATTAGTAGGGGATGAGGGAGGGGGGGGGGGGGAATCTAGCCGAGGCCCGTGTGCTTAAGGCTACCTAAATATACCTCGACAGTTAGAAATCAATATGAAATTATGCTGAATTATGAAGTTGAGCTGTCCTGTCAAATTCTTGAGCATTGTATGGAGTTACCCGTCTTACTTAACCCAATCGGGTGCAGAAAAATAAGACGTAAACCGTCTTTTATACCCCTTTTACACTCGGCCCCGTTAAAGATAGTCTGGCCCGGATCGGTGCCTGGCTTCGATCAAAACGCCTGTTTACACCGGCGCTCTGTGATCTGGGCCAGGCCCACTTTAAACGGAAATAAGCGTGCACTCTCTAATTAAAAAGATTACAAAAGGTCCACATTTGTAGATTTATAATGGCTGATACGGAAGTTGTAAACCCTGCACATGCGCAGAAGAATTTTTAAACGGAGCCAGGCACGCATTCGTTTTACACTAGTAAAATTTAAGTGGGTCAGGCACCGATCCGGACCTGGCTCACCTCTTATTGCGGTGCCAGGCCCCGATTAAATTGGCTCGCTTTATTCCGTTTACACTTGAAGTGGGCCAGGGAGCAATCATGGCCTGGCCCACTTTATCGGAGCCGAGTGTAAAAGGGGTATAAGTCCTTGTTATTTTAAAGCTAGTAGCAGTTGAAGGGTCAATGATAATAAGCTCAGCCTAAAGAAAACCAACAACCCATCAGCTGAGGTGATAATAGCAGTGGGGAAGGATTCAAATGCGTATTTAAAAGGAAGGCCGTGTATAACAGTATGCTAGTATCAGTGGGGAAAGCCCAAAATAAAAATAATAAAAGTAAATTAAACGGATTTTTACGACCTACGGAAATGATGCTGTAAACTTATGAGGCACTGGGGAAAATGTCAAGCTACAAAGATAAAAATTGGCATTTGAGATCAGATATGCAATTTCAAGTCAATTCGATCAAAACTGTGAATTTGAGGGTGAAAAAGATTGTCAAGATTGTATGAAGATAGTACAAAGAATATGACTGCAAATGGCCTGGAAATTAAATGAATGGAGTTTAAATGAAAACCGACATCGTCAAGATTTTGCCATGACAGTGGCATTAGTTTGCACTTTTTCGATTTACAACTGTCGAGGGATATTTAACGTGCACAGTGATGCAGTTCGGAAGGGGCTGACATGTAAAAGGCGTCTAGTTGTTCGGATGCTACGGACTGTCCGCGTTAATGATACAGTAGAAACTATGTTAAGAGACCACGCAGTCTCTTACTGGAAGTGGTCTCTTATGAGAGAATTGAGTCGAAATTCAAATTTCAAATTTCAAATTTCAAATTCAAATTTCAAATTTCAAATTTCAAATTTCAAATTCAAATTTCAAATTCGAAATTCAAATTTCAAATTCGAAATTCAAATTTCAAATTCGAAATTCAAATTTCAAACTCAATATTCAAATTTCAAACTTAATATTCAAATTTCAAATTAGAAATTCAAAAATACAAAAACATGTCGTATTTGAGCTTCCGTACTTATGCAACTGTCCTGGAAAATTTTACACTGCATGTAGTTGCCCAATTAGGTGCAGAAGAGTTGGACGAAAAACTATTGTAGTATTGTAGTTTTTGGAAAACAGTTTGATTATTTAATTTCAGTTTGTCTCAGATTGCAATGAAAATTTTGGTTTTCCTCTTGGCGCTTACTGTTCAAGTTTTCAAAACTGAAAGGGTATGTACTTTTTAGATACAGTCTGGCACAAACAATTGTCCATATTCTCCGTCTGCTCGCTATCAAGTTCCAAGCTAGTTTGTTACGGATCATTTCTTTCTTGGTGTATAGATTTGTAACCTAATAATTATTTCTCCTATATTCTTAATATATTAAAGCGATTGTAAAGAGTTTTTCTAAAAAAAAAGTATGTGTATCGGGGACACTGATAGCATCATTTGCGCCATTCAAATTTTCAGTCAGACGTACACTAAACTAAGTGTTTGATGACGTCACTAATCGAAGGGTCATTACAGACGTCTGATTGAAAATTGGAATATCGCAAATTGGTGCTAACAGTGTCCCCGATATACAGAAGGATATCAGAAAACCTCTTTACAATCCCTTTAAGATTGTATGTAACAATAACTTTTTTATATTGCCGTGGCCCTGTCCGTCGGTCCGTCAACATTTCTTGAACACAATAGAGACTACAATTTTTATCTGATTTTAATGAAACTTGATTTGATAATGTATAATGATGAGATCCTAGTCAAGTTCGAATTTGACGATTTTTTGATGAACGGTTTTTTAAATAATTGTCCTTGACATAGGAAAAACGCGTCAAAATTTGTTTGTGAACACAATAAAGACTACAGATTTCATGTGATTTTTATGATGAAATAATGGAGTTTTACGTCTTTTTATTTTCATTGATGAGATTTTTGTCAAGTTTGAATTTTCAACGATTTCACTCTTAACAATTTTTTTGACCTTGATATTAGAGCTGTGTGACTATATTTGGGTTATTGTTATTGATTTTATAATAAATTGTGGAATTACTCAGCATGAATAACTGGCAGTAAATATATATATATCATTGAATTCAAACTAATAAAATTTCTTTAATGTGAGAAAATTCGTACTTAGTCACTAAAGACTGTTTTATCATTTCTGCCAGCTGCCAGTGGGCGTACGTTACCTTGCAAGCTATCTTTATTGTCTCAAAATGAGCTGAGGGTGTCGGGAGATTAAAGACATTCAGAATGATTCAGTGCAGAAAATATAATGTCATTTTACTCATTTGTTTGCCATTGTACGTTTCAGAAAACGGCACAAAAATCTTCTGTTTTTTTTGTCGAGCTGTCCTTTTACAGTTGATTGTAAATACTCCTCAATGTAACATCATTTTATTTATTCAACATTTCTGGTGAACGTAATAGATACATTTTTATCTGATTTAAATGAAATGGTGTAGTTTTACCAATTGCAGTGCTGATGTCTATCCACAATCTTCCAAAAATAACAGAAGAAAGGCATATAAAGATGAAAATATCTTTCAATAATATATCTTATCCAAATAATTTCCTTTAAAGTGATACTACGTCTTAGAATACACTCGTCCTATGGCTAATATTTGTGTTTAATAGTGACCATTGGTTAAATAAGTATGCATCCCAAACTTTTGAAAAAGCGACAATAAAACTGTAATGAAAATTTTTTATAGAAAGTGAGCAAGCGACAAGTCTGTTCAGTTTGAGAAAAAAGAGTCTGGGTAATCAACACTAAAACAGGAAACAATCATCTTCCGGTGTATACAAATAAACTTTGCTAATGATTCGTTGAAAATTGTGTTAGTGGTGGAGTATTCATTCTAAATCATTTGAATTGCTTTTTCGCGGAGTTGCTTAATCTCCTACGAGGCATTATTATATCGTCTTCAAAGTATGTCTGACAATGTCGAGGTCAATTCAAGAGTAGAGGTCAAGGACGCGGGAAACCCCACTTGAGAGTTACTTCACCTTGAAAATAACACCGGATTTCCTAGACTCACGATTTGAAAATCGCTTAATGGATGTATTAAGCGTTTTATAATTAATTACTTGATTTTGTGGATATATCGGATAATAGAGGGATTATATAGATGTATAGTTAGGACACCAGGTAAGTCCACTGATGGATATATACTGATATTGGCCAAATTTGAGTAAAATTTAAATTTCATGTTCATCCTAAGACGTAGTATCCCTTTAAAGTATATACATTCACGCATTTAAATTTGCATTGGTACCATTTCAATTTAATCTTTATTATTCAAATTGATAATTGATGTAAAAGAAGTATACTTGTGACCTTGACCGGTGCTTCTATAACACCCAACACCAACCGAATCGATTTTTATATTTAATTTCTAGGTAGAAGATGTGTTTTATTATCATAATAGAATAAAATGTGTAAAGTGTCCAAGAGGACATAAAGTTTTAAATCACTGTACCAAAGATCTTAGTCAATCGGATTGTGTTACTTGTGAGGAGGGTACGTTTGCTGTGAGACTTAGTTCTTCTAAGCTTTGTGGGAAATGTAAAGATTGCAGCCACACTTACCAAATAATTAAGAAGAACTGTACACCGGAAACGGATACTGAATGCAAATGTCCTGATAAAGAATATTTCTATCTAGACTATTGTAAGTCGTGTGAACCACCTAGAATTAAAAGGGGTAAGTAACACGGTGTTGTTCTAAAAGAGTAAGCATTACTCTGGATAATAGAATTCAATAGTAGTTCTCTGTAAAACTTTTAAATTGGACATGAACGCAGGCTTTCGTCTAGAATTATCCAACGTGTAAAATGTGATATTTGTACGGGAGATCAAGAAACCAAACATGTTTGTAATATAACGCATAATACTCAGTGTAAACAACTACCCACCACCAGTCTATCAACCATCCCAGAGTCTTCAGTAATCCCAGTATCTTCATCAGGTAACACTGACAAACTTGTCATATCATGTTCGTTATAAAGTTGACTAAATCAATTCCCAACAAACGAAATAGACAAGGATAATATAGTGTCTTTGAACCCTCCACTAAGTAAAAATGTTTCTACAAATATTGGTCATAAATTCACGAATCTCCTATCAAAACACTTCCCCTAAAAATTCACATAATTTTCATTAAAATACTGTAATGGCAAGTCTTTAAACAAACGTTTCGAACCGGTGGGTGTAAAATTCCGAATTCCCAAACTGTCCGAACTGTCCGTATTGGGTCAGAAAAGACAAAAAAATCGAAAGTAATTTTGCGCAAAAGGTGATGCACAAATTCGGAAATCAAAACATTTTACATCAAAAAACGAATAATTTTAAAAGTTTTTCAAATCACAATTTCTTTCTTTATTTTTAGTGTACACCGTGCTAGTTTATAATAATGCCGTCTATGAATTGATATTATTAATAAATATAATCGCTATTATTCAATGGACTTTTTTTGTGATCGAACGCGTCTTCCCATTATCTCCCTTGAATAGCAACATATCAAGGTGACAACACAGCGGTTTGAAACTCTGAAAAAGTTTGAACTCTTGGTTATTGCTGTTTCTCACAACCAGGCAACATCTTCCCCACCCTTGTCTCCTTCCCATTCAGAAAATGTGCTGGTCGGTAAGGGGGCTGTGGGAGAAGATTGGAAACACACCTCTACATCTACGTGGCATTTAGTGAAAACCTGTTACAGACGTTTTAGGGAATCACACTCACAGTCGGATTCAACTACTAGTACTACTCCTCCATGCTATATCCACAGAGATATAATATATGTCTAAAAATATATGCTAAGCCTAACTGGTAATGGTTACGTCATGACAACAATATACTATAATAATAGTAAAAATACTAATGTGAAAAGGAAGTCACAAAGTTTGATGCCAATGTGAATGATGGGAACAGGCTAACATGCAGTGAGTAAGACGGCATCATTATAAATTATACTGTGTACACGAAAAATAAGAAAAAAATTGTGATTTGACCAGATGAAAGCTTTTAAAAATATTCGTTTTTTGATGTAAAATGTTTTGCTTCCCGAATTTGTGCACGACCTTTGGCGCAATTCTAATTTCGATTTTTTTGTCTTTTCTGACCCAATTCGGACAGTTCGGGAATTTGGAATTTTACACCCACCGGTTCCGAACTCTTGAAACATAGACATTTGAATAAGTTCTTATTGTCCAATTTCAGTATGGACGCAGGCTGAAAATAGGTCATTTGTATGAAGATCGCATAGCGTGAAACTGAGTTACAACATGATTTAATTTTTTTATACGGACCTATATTAATTTTTGAGAATCTGATCTAAAATTTTAAACACTTAGGAGATACTGGGTTACTAATCAAAATTTGGGTATTGCTTGACCAATTTTTGGTATGTGCAATAAGTCAACTGGAGGATAGGAATGGCTATTAAAATAAGTTCAGATGTTTTTTTTTTCACATCCAATGACCCGGTTTGTCGTAAATTGTGTATATATCTTGTAAAACTTTTAAATTGGAAATGAACGCAGGCTTTTGTCTAAAATTATTCGATCAACTTGTGAATGAAAATCACAATAAATAGGAAGAAATATTTTCATATTTCCAAAGCAATATTATTTTGTGAAATGTGTCTGAAGTAAGACAACGTGAGTGGCGTTTTGATTATTTTAACTAGTGAAAGAATGGCTTGCTTGCCCCTTCAGCTGATAACACTGGATAACATGGGTGTATTATAATTTCTCGAACGAAACTTGGCCTATTTGAAATTTGATATTATTTTAGTTCGGGACGAAAAGGAATATTGTGAAGATTGTGAATCTGATACTTATTATAACAGTACAGTGGAAGATTGTGTAAAATGTGATATTTGTGCGGGAGATCAAGAAACCAAGCATGTTTGTAATATAACGCATAATACTCAGTGTAAACAACTACCCACCACCAGTCTATCAACCATCCCAGAGTCTTCAGTAATCCCAGTATCTTCATCAGGTAACACTGACAAACTTGTCATATCATGTTCGTTATAAATTTGAACAATTATCACTTTCAACTAAATTCCATGAAAATTCTATTTTTCATGTAAATATAATTTCGTACAGAATGTAACGGGAATGTTTCATATTAACCAAGAGGATTTTGTTTTAACATAATGTACCTCAAAGGGACAGTCTGATTTTTATATGTAGGTTGGAAATTTCTTTTTGTGTCTCAAAAAGAAATGTGTCCCTGATCAATTTCTACCACTTCCATTATGAAATACTTACTCATTGATGATTCATATACTTCCTTCCTCATGTGAAAGTTTATAAGCTGCTAATTTATCTGAAAGTTTAAACTAAAACTAAAATGTCAAAGTAAAAGTGGGGGATTGGGCAAGTACCTCATCTTTACACACACGTACTAGGAATTAATAATCACAGAATTAATTTACCAGGATCGTGAATTTATTTATACTTTTTGATATAAAACGAATAATTGAAAGCGTGTAGGTCTTTTTCAAGTAAATCATTGTCTATTATAAATCTGATAATAGACAATCTAAAAAGATATATTCTTCAATATTTAATAATTATGATACATTCGTGAATTAACATTGTATTATTATTGTATTTAATACCGGCGTTTCAATGCGTCATAAGCGGCCAAACTAGATCCACAGAATTGTCAAGGGGGGAATACAGCACCAGGATTTAAGAACTCAATGGTAAGCAATTTAAAACTGACGGAGCGGAATGCCACTGTTGTTAAAACACATTGATAGAACTTGTTCATTATTACCTGCAGTGGATTGAAACAAGTGATTTAAACCGAGCAATTAAAATTAAATTAAAAACTAGCATATTGGCCTATAGTCCCATGTATAATTTTGTTAAATTTTTTTTTAGAAAAAAATGGTCATAGTATAAGTTATGGTGGAATAGCAGGCATAGGTATAGGCGTTGCAATAATTCTAATTATTGGTATAAGTATTGGTGTTTTATTGTGTTTGAAGAAAAAGTCTTGTTTAAGAAGTGAGTTGTACGAACATTAATTTAGAAGTTCAATTTTTTTTTTTTTTTTTTTTTTTTTTTTGGGAAGGTCCAGGGTTCAATCCCGGCATAGGTCGAGATAATACCTTCGGATTTTTCAACCCGGTTTCCCACTCTCAGTTATGCAGGTAAGAGGGGCTGACATGGAAAAAGCGTCTAGTCGTTTGGATTGGACAATAAACCGAGGTCCCGTGTGCTACAGGCTGTGCACGTTAAAGATCCATCGACAGTTGGAAATCGAAAAAGAGCAGGCTAATGCCGCTGTCCTGGCAAAATTTCACTCATTGCATCTTGCATGGCGTTGCTCGTCTTCATTAGCCCACATGGTGCAGAAAAGTGGGACGTAAAACTCTATTCATTTCATTTCATTTTTTTTTCCACTGTTGTTTATGATTCATTTTAAGTTATAAACAAGATAAATATATCTTATTGTTTTGATTGCAGGTAATGCCCATCGGGTTACAGAAGAAGAAGGAAGACCTCTTGCTGATAGCAGAAATGTAGAACTGTTATCCCAATCTTCACGTATGTATCTATTCACAGCCCTACTGGCCATACTTCCTCGGAAAGTAATAAGACTTGTCAAAACTCATATTTGGAAAACGATTGTATCTTTTATATTCATTAGTTAAATTATTTCTTAAGCTTTTCTGCGTTGACACCGGAGATGTTTTTAAAGGGCTTATGTTGAATTTTTCTAATTTTTAGCAAGCCTGTCGAGTTTGCAAAATCCAACTAGTTCCATACTTGCTTAACCAATTTTAGTATTTTATATATAAAATGTTTAATTGGCAACTCCTTTAACTTTTTTTATTTTCTCCTTCGTAGAGTGAGTTTAAGTATAAATGAAGATATTTCTATTTTTATTTCGTATAATGAGTTTAAGTGTAAATTAGTTCAGGTCAGCACTGGTCAGATTAACCCTTTCAATACCTGTGATTGGTTTTCATCTTGTTTTCGTTATATCTGCTCGTTAGTTAGATAGTGAGTTCATTATTTTACTGGTTACAGACGCGCATAGTCTTAATTTGTAAAATTTGAATATATTTTGGCCACAATAATTAAAGTATTCATTTACTTTACTACTATTTTGTTATTTGGGGTTGTGAATTTTTGCTATGTGCAATTAAGTCAACCGGAGGATAGGAATGGCTATCAAAATAAGTTCAGCTGTTTTGTTCACATCAATATATTTGACAAAACTTGACTAAACTGTAAGTGTTTGCATTCGCGTTTTGATTTAATAGAAACGAAATATAATTCAACCATAGAGTGATTTAGAAATCAGAGCGCCTACCTCCAAAGCATGACCTAAAAAATAAATAAAGACAAAATCTAAAGTGAGTCAGACAGTACCGTAACTAAGCAGGGATGGGGGGGGGGGGGTCAGCTATTGCGACTGTCCCTCTTGGCACATTGAGCTGGTTGCGGGTCTGGATTCAGAACAGGTATTTATTTAAGTTTCTACTTTCATTCTTGAGAGATTTTTTACCAGACCTCGGAGAAAAGAAAATACTTGTAAATACACTGTACCGATCAATGATGGTATACCAATAAAAGGCCTGAAAAGAGATGTTTTCCATGCAGTGTTTGATTTTCAGCCTTTTTCGCTATTTGCTGAATTAAGATCCCAAGAATGAAGGCATTTGTTTATGCTGCTGAAGGGGTTGGGATTTAATTTCGAAATAACCAACCGGTAGACTATTTTTTGTTATCTCAATTTAGATGAAACCAGCCAAACTACATACTCTGAAACACAAAACAGTCTGTGTTTTAGCATTGATGTGCGAATATTTCATGTTGGGATTAAGGTTAAGTATGTCCATCGACATTTCCGTTAGAACATTTCACATACTTAGAACTGGACATCTTTGTTTTCAGAAGCGCATGGTAATTCGAATGCGAAGCCTGCATGGATGATTAAAATCCGAAAGATATTGGTAGATAATCTGCACCCGTTTGATTTATTTGTTGCCGAATTAGGTAATTATTCATTCGTCAATTTAAGAATGATCATAAGCATATTTGCTAACACAAATAGAAATATAATACAATCTTCATCAGTGTCGTCGATTCTATTTTTATGCTTATTTAAAATATATGTTCTTACCGTTTCGCCGCGGGGGGTGACAACCAATTCACCTTGCTTATTTCACCTCGTTTGAATATTTGTTTTTTTCTTCTAGAAAACCCTGAATTTAACGCACCTGCTAAATATGGTCAGTTAAATGATACAAATGTAGAAACAAAATTCTATAAGTTTATGGACATGTGGTACGAACAGACTAATGATCCAAGTCAAGAAATGATTATGACAGCTTTAAAACACATAAATAGAAATGACCTAGTCGAAAAGGTTAAGGAACAACTTGATAAGACAAGGAATACAAGGAATGATGACCAATGTGTTTCCTGTGATAATAACTGCAAATATTCACCTATACAAGTTTCTGACGATGGTCAGAGTGGTATCCCTAATCATGATAAAATTGACTCAGTGGACAACCTACAAAACACGGTAGAATCAGTGCACAACACAGATATGACATATCCAAATGGAACACAACCCAAAGAAATCAATGTGTCTGATTCGGATGAAGAGCAGCAGACTAACCTTAAACAACCTATTGAACCCATGGGCATCAAAAATAGCACGGTTGCATTGGAGCAAAACATAACTAAGACAAACCACAATGGGGCTGACCCACTCGACATACAGTGCACAGAAATCGGTGTGTCTGATATGGACGAAGATCAAACTAACCCCAAACAACCATTTATAACACACAACACAGCATCATAGCATTCAAATCAAAAGCAGGCTAAAGTATTGCCAATCTATAAATCTGGCAATAAAGGTTTGGCAAGCATTTACAGACCCGTATCAATTCTACAAGCTTTTAGGTGATAATTCGTTTAAATTTTGATTAAAAACTTAAACTTACACCTGGGTGAAAATAATTTCCACCTTGATGATAGCCTAATTCAATGAATTTTTAATTAAAAACTTTTTAAGTCATTACCAGCCTCCATCTGGTAAAAAAAAACGGAGAAAAAAGATGCTGCCTGGTTGTGAGGAACAGCAAGAACCAAGAGTTCAAACTTTTGGTAGCTATTTAGATTTAAATCTCCCACTGTGTCGTCACCTTGATATGTCATGGTTACTATTCAAGGCAGATAATGGGAAGACGCCTTCGATCACAAAACAACAAAAAGTGTCCATTGAATAATAGCGATTATATTTATTAAAAATCAAAAATGTCAATTCATAGACGGCATTATTATAAATTAGCACGGTGTACACTAAAAATAAAGAAAGAAATTGTGATTTGACCAAATGAAAGCTTTAACAATATTCGTTTTTTTGATGTAAAATGTTTTGCTTCCCGAATTTTTGCACGACCTTTGGCTCAAATTTAATTTCAATTTTTTTTCTTTTCTGACCCAATTCGGACAGTATGGACAGTTCGGGAATTCGGAATTTTACACCCACCGTTCAAATACCCCTCCTTTATCCAAACCTTGTTAAATTATTCTATAACGCTCATTTTAAATCCTACATTGATTACTGCTTCGCTATTTGAAATACTTGTAATAATTATTCTTCAACAGCTCTGAAATAGACTTCAAAAATGAATACTTCTCCACATCATCATCTTCTATTTCAAAACTTTTCTAAAATAGGAAATCTTAATCTTCAAAATATTCTTCAATATAAAAAAACACCATATGCATCCATTAACCAGATTCCTTATTTCAAAACCTTTTAGATCCATTTATAAGAATAGCTTGAAATTCAAGGCCCCTGTTTATGGAACTCTTTACCTCAATCAATGTTTTGATAAAATTAAAAAACAACTCTTTCTTGAAAAAATAGAGCAACATAATCAGATGAATGATAAATGTATATAACTGTTAATAGTTTTACTGCTTTTGTTAGTGTAGTTCTGCTGTTTTTAGTTTCTTTTGTATTTTTATGCGCCTGCCCGTCCGTTCACGTTACTTGTAGGCACGACAGAAACTACAGTTTTACACGATGAAACTTGGTATGCTTGTATATATTGATGAGATCTCGGTCAAGTTCAAAAATTGGTTACAATCGGTTGAAGGGTTTCAGAGTTATTGTCCATGTCCAATGACTAAAATATAACATGTGAATAAAATCCGTTGAGGTATGTGTATGTGTATAAAATGGTTTATCTCCCCTGATGTTGGGCTCGTTTGATGTTAACACAATTGATTTGAATCGAAAAGGTCATTTATTAACATTAACAAATGACGTAAACAAAATTATATAAAACAAGTACAAAATTCTAATTAAACTAAATTACACTTCATGGTACTTAACAAATCCATAAACATCAAAGATTGGGGGACAACACCGTGACATGATTAGGTTGTGCTTCCTCTACAAACTGGTTACACAGATTATCATTGTTGATTGTACCACCCCTTTTTCCGAAGAAAGTCACATAGATAGGGGAATATACACCAAAATATGGTTGCAAATTGCTATTTCTTAGCTTGAGATGAATATTCAAACGATTCACGTGTGAACTACCTAAAACCAAACTCTACTAATACGTTGTGCTTCCATTCTGAACACTTCAAATCTGCAGAAAAATTATCCGCCACTAACTAACAGACACAGTTAGCCTAACAATAACACTACTGTACTAGATCTACAGGACAGTAACAACTAACAAACACTTTGTTTGTTCCGAAAATTCCAATTAGTCTCTGTCAGGGGTTCCTTAGAATGTTAATAATGAAGGAAGCCCAATAAGAATGTACTTAAAGTTGAAGGGTGTAATTAAACTGGTTTTAATTGTAATTAGTTGTTTTCAGTTCACAGTATTAAAGTAACAGTTACACTTCACTGCCTTTTCTACCTTTCTATATCTTTTCTCTGGTTCTGATCTTTATTCATCTTGGTGTCTATATTTGTTCATCTGAGCTGTAATGACCCCCTTAGTTGTATTTTCCTTATGTCTTTGTGGTCATTCTGTCTATATAGTTTGAATTTGTAGGATGGTTGTTCTGTCATTCAGTATTGTATTTTCTGTAATATGGTGTAATTGAAGTTTCTTCAATTAGGTTTATAGTTTTCATTTAGTGTTTGTATACACTTTTCCGGTGTGTACTTTGGATTTGGAACGTAGGATAACTTTTAGTATAGGTATGTAAAAGTTCTGTACCGGTACTTTATATCTTTGTTGGTGTTGGTAACTAAGGTGTCGGCCATATTGTAATTTGGTTAAGTTAAGCACATACATTTCTGCAGTCAAATATTACATTTCATTAATTCTTATATTTAATCCATTACATTCATTACATTCATAACCTACATTATTTTATTACAGATTCCCTTTATATAACCCTTTGGGTTAAGGTGCTACACCTTAACTTTGGTTAGCGTTTAAACCCCTTTTAGGGTAAGCATTATTATATATATATATATTATATTGTATTGTGCATAGCTAAGTATTTCAGTTAGTATGTATTAGTGTGTTAAGCATAGGTTTTGTATTGGTATTTATATTCCTCTGTATATTTCATACAGTTCGGTAGTTATAACCTATGTTTGCCTATATAATATATATTCTATTGTGATTAAGTTTTACCTTTACTTTATGACCTGTTTGTAATTATGTTTCTTTGTACTTTCAGGGTTTTTTGTTGATTATTAAATCTATTAATTTGAACCTTTGGTGTGATGATTTAACCCCCATCACCCCCCTCGACAACATTAACTGAATTATCTGCCGAAAAGGCTTTGAATTGAACTAACCAATTTTTTTTTTAACTAAGAATTAAAAAACAATGGCGCTTTTCTCTGCAGGAACCCGGATGAAGGGTAGATAACACTTCTGTGTTATGACGTAGACTCCGTCCACAACCATTCATCCGATAAACTCTTGTTGGCTCTTTAATCGTAATTGCCATATTTCATCTTGATCTCGTCATAATTTTCATTTTGTATCATTGCATGAGTAATGTATGTAACCTATGTAAGTTTATATCATATTATAGGCCTACTATGTGTTATTTAAATTATCATGATCTCGTCATTTTTAGACTGATTATTATCATTAGTTATATGTTTTAGTTTTTGGTAGATAGTGTATTTGTATTGTTTCCTTCTTTCATATTGTACCATTGAATAATGAATGTATGTTGCATATATTATACTGTCTTTTATGGTACCGGTAATGAAATTATCTTATTTTATGACACGAAACATAGGAGCTGTAGGAGTTCGCTTGTGCTTTCAACTGTGGGTAAAAAGTAGACCTGTAAGCCTCCACCGTCAGTCACTGTTGATCTAGTTTTGCTTTGGAAGCCGCCGTCATGGTGGACGACAGCTTAAAGATGGGTTTCCTTATTTTTTAGTATTGAATTAAGCAAACTGTGATTAATTGGTGTTTCTAATGAATTATCATGTTATTATTTAACCTATCATAATGTCCATGTATTTTTACAGACCTTTCTTGATTGGTAACTCATTGGAATTCTTCTGCTGGTGATGTTAGAAAAACTGGTATTTTTCCAAGTCATTCCACCACATGGTGTTACTCAATAATCATAACTTTGGTGATTTAGTAATATTCCCAAAACAAAATGTTTGTCTTCTTTTATTTCAGCCTAAATTTGAAAGTTCGCCTATTAAATTCATCTCATTAATTCATACTTTCTAATGTAAAACTGCCTGAAGTGCAGTCGTAGAATACTGAAGTCAAGTGAAGTCAGTCTTGGAGACTGAGCCGCAGGAATTTCAACCAGGTTAGTCACAATTATCACAACGACCTGCCTGGGCTACAGCAAGTAAAAATAAACTTGACGTAATCTACATTGGGTAGCAAAGGTGCCAATATTTTAGTGTTCTAGCTGATGCCTACAGAAACTGATGTTATGAAAGCTCTGAGACAGAGAAAGATATCGCAAAGGAATAGAAGCAGTGAAATGCGCCTTTAACTGGTGGTTAGATTAATACAATGACTGAAAATAACTACCATTAATCTACAATAAATTCACCCTACAACAAATACATAAATTAAATGTTGTTTCATTAAAACGAGTAAATAGAGTAATATCCCCTTAACATACATTCGGGAGACGGCGGTAAATACTGTACTGCCCTGAAATAAGCTCAATCTATAAACAAGCTCTAAACATTCCCTTTCGTTTAATATGAGTCTAAGATCTTCAACATGGATGTCCCCTTCTTTCTCTTTTCACTGTACGACATACTATTGAAATAAATATTATACCTGTGTGTGATTAGTGTATAGTATATAAAAATAATATATATAAAATAAAAATTTAAACAAGTAGTTAGTGAGTTATAAGACTTAGTGAAACAAACCACTGCGGGGCGAATATCAAACATGGCCGCAATTATTGACATTTTGGAGAAGTTACTCAAAGGGCTAATATTTTAAAGAATTAAGCTTTCCTTCGTTTCAATGACAGGTATAGAACTCTAATGATAGCACCTTAAAACTAATAATAATGCCAATGGCTATGCACAATTATTAATATTTAGTCTTTAGACTCTAGCCTGGTGGGACCATTAACACTGACTGTATGTATCATCAGTATGATATTGATACTGTGTATGTAGGCCATTTAATACTAATAATAATAGAGCCTGAAGTGAGAGTGTAGTTTAAAAAATTATCCTTCATGTGGTCTATTCACCGTCAGAAAATTGTCTGATATTATGACTCAACGCACAAGATAAATCTAGGTGGTTCTGGTTACTGACAGGTCCTTTTGGGGGGTCAAAAGTCCAATTAAGTGGGGCAGTTTAGGTAGCCCACTGAGAAATAATTAAGAATTATTCGTCTGGAAACACGATTTCCTTACATTTCCCAGCGAATTTAAAGTTCAAGGTTATTTGTATAGGGTCCATGGTATGCCGCTGAGAAAAAACTTTGTGTCGCAGATATAGTTTAAGGTCAGTTTTTAGGACGAGGGAACTGCTTTTGTGTAGATTGAAACGACAATTATATGGAAATAATCATTAGTTATTCTTCCCTGACTGAATAATGCAATAATGATTATTGCGATTATTTTATCGTTCGAACTATTTGGCACCATGAAATAGGCCTACAATTATCTCTTAACCTCTCTGGGAGTTACCTCCAATGTGCAATTTATCTCTTATATTTAATTATATATTTATGAACTATAGTGGTCAATTGAATAAATGAAGTGAATATGACGTCCAGGTCAATTGTATGAATGAATTTTCATTAATGGCTATGTTTTAGGGGGAGTGAAATATATATGCCGTTCCCCTCCATGATCTCCACCCGTCTCCGGACTATTTTAATGGTTTTCTTCAGACGTGTATCCACTGCATGCCTGTGCCACTGCTTTTGTAACATTACTTAACCGCTATGTTACAACCTAAAATTTCCTAGCTGTAAGCTTATACTGTATATTTTAATTACTTCTGGAGGGCAATTTTGACAAACACCTAAGCCTACAGAACTGCCCACGTAGGAACTGTTATTTTATATTCGATTTTAATGGGATGGAAACACAAGGATTGTAACATTTTTCCGTTTTTTGTGAAGACTTTCCAATATCAAATCTATACTTGTAAAGTTGTTGTTGCAGAAGTGTTTTTACTTATGTAGTTTAGTGTCAATTACAGCCTACTGCTAACAATACATAGATTACAATTAAATGCAAATAATTCTAAATGCAGAGTTGAAATAATTCTGATCTAATATACAAAAATAAAGAGTTGCCTACCATAGCTGAATGATCATTGTGCCCAAACTACAACCCATATGTAATGTTTCCTCAAGGCTGTGGTTATATAAGTGGGAGAAATTACGTATAAATAGCTTAAGTCCAAACGAAATTGGCCCTAAAATCTTGCTAGGAAATCTCAACCAATCAAATCAATTCACTCATTATGGACCCTTTGATGTAAACAAAACGAAAGCAGTGTGACGATTAATATGGGCGATACAGAATTGAGCAAGACATTTGTTAAGGAATTGAAGCTGATTTTGGAAGGAGGAAAGAACAAGCTTATGTTCTTATCTCTTCAAATTGGTGGCGGCAAATCAATTTTGTGTTTTGTTTTCTAAACATGACCTCAATTCCGTTTTACCGATCTGATTGGTCAAATTTGAACCTCATTTCCATGCCCACAAACCGAAGTGTAGTGGGCTTAGTTTAATAAGGGTTAATAAGACCATGTCCACGCCTGTATTCGGGATACGATGCTGATGGATCTAAATATTAAAAAGGCCTTGTTTTCAAACATAATACACACTGGTACAATAAGTACTATTTCAAGGGAGTCAAGCTCCCAGTTTTGGAACACCTGATGACACAGTGCACAGGGTTGGGCATCATTTTAAGAGAGCAACATAATTGTTTAATACTTTGGTCACAACCTTACATAATACTCATTTGATTTAATTATAGATTTGATGTGAAAGGGAAGCATAAAGTAGCTTATCTTACCCCTTGTAACCATGACTACTACCAAGGGATCTAAGAATTATGTTTGGGATACACAAGATTCTCTTGGTCATGGAGCTACTAGTATGGTATATCAAGGTCGATGTAAGGTAAGTAGCTAGATTCAGCTTAGTTAGAATTCATCCTTACAATGTCCCTTAAATATATCAAGGTTTTCAAATATATTTTTTAACATTAAAATCTAACTTGAGTCTTGTATTGTAGAGTAGACTTTTTCCATGCAAATCTTTCTATAAATAAGGCTGGATTGATATCATCTAGGGCTGCAACGATTCTTCAAGTTACGATTCGATACACTATACGATACTCATCCAACGATACGATTTATTTCGATGATTATCGTGATTCATTTATTAAAAAAGGAAAGAGAAAAAGTAGTCGAAATTTGTAAAATTACTAACAATTTTGTCACTATTAAGCACTTGAGAACATTTAGAAGTAAGGAATTATGAAAAAAATCTCAAATTTCAAAGTCAGAAATGAATTTTTGCACATTTTGATGTGAAAATTATACTTGGAAAATAAAAACATGACACAAAGAATTTATTATACCAATACATTACGATTATTTTTATATGAAGGAAAGAATCACGGTTCATCATTGCAGCCCTAATATCATCTAATCCCAAAATTGGTACGGTACCGTATCTTATTAAGTTGCATCATGAATTTGTGCCAGTTCATAATCAAAATGTCGTCATGTCTTTTAAAACAAAAAGTTCTTTTATAACAGCCACCTATAATAACTCTTTACTGAAATCTGTTTTTTTAACTTTTAGAAAACATTTGACCTGGTAGCAGTAAAAGTATTTAATCCAGCTAGTTATAACAGACCTATATCTATACAGATGAGAGAATTTGATGTTATGAAAAAATTAAATCATAAAAACATTGTTAAATTGTTATCTATTGAAGAGGAAGTAGGTATCATATATATCGGTTTATTAACATTAATCTAATTAAAACTGTGTTATTGTCGAAAATGAAATTGGCTTTATCCTATGTAGTTTTCTGTAAAGAAAATTTGTTTTGTTCTGTTAATAAAAAGATTGAAAGAGCTTGCAGGCATATGAAATCACAAAACAAAGATTACTGCCTCGATTGAAAAAAATGGAAAAACTGAAATTGACTTCACTCATATAATATAAAACACTGAGATATAATCACAATTGCTGTGGTATTGGTAGTAAACACTCCCCTTTTCACATCAATTGTGTAAAGTGTCAGATCTATGTTGTATTTCATGAAAAAGTTTGTTTTAAGTTGGTGAATAGCAATTTTTTCCTTGACTAAACTGAAATTTCTTTTCCGATTTCTATAGATGTCTTCTCTATATGGCAGTGTCCTTAGAAAAGACGACTCGTCACTTTCAAACGCAGATAATTCTGGACATACTTGGATTTGAAGATTCAAATTTCGACAGTGAGCTGTGAACACTATTACTGTTTGGCTTAGCTAAGATATTTGTGCATGCACCAGAGTTAAAAGAATTTAAACAATAGGACAATTTGTAGTCGTCACTCATACAATTTTCAGCAAAATATGGTGTAATTTGTGTCAGTAGAGCAGTTTTTTTGCGATACATTATATTTTCTAATAATAAATGAAACATTGATATGCCGCACCTTTTAGTAAATTTCTCGAGGACTGAAAGTCGGCACAGAATCAAAGGAGGCATGATTGTTACTATAAATAGTATCGTAGTCTTAGATTGTGCTAAATAAGGAATATTATACTGAAGTGGATAGCAGACGACATTTAGGGGAGATAGAGTAGAGCAGCATGGATATGGCCTTCGTGGTGGAAAAAATTAATGCTTCATCATTTACAATCGAAATACAACACTCCTATTAGTAACAAAGTAATAACAACTTTTAAATATCCATTTCCGTAAGAAAAACCGCAAACCCAAGGCTTAAATATATCGGTTGGTTTTGGTTGTTCTCAATCGAGAATCATATGCATGCGACTTTTCATAACTTTTATTAAACATTAAAAAATATTTAAAAAAAAAGTGCTATACAATTTCAACTATCACAGAAGAAATTGCTCCACAAGATTTAAAAATGCTATGTAATTTTGGCCTGAAGAGTAATTAACTGCTATGCTAATAAAAAAAGTAATTTGTACTAACACTTACAATGATTAAAATTCATACACCTTTTTTGTCACAGAGATATATTTTTCACTAAACCCAGATTAGTCTAAATCTTCCTATTAACATTTTTAAGTTTATTTAAACTGGGAGATACTCTACCTATATTTAAATCAATGCTGGATACCTAATTGACTGGTCAGAAATGTGAAAAGTGACACTTTGAACTAATCTTATAAAATCAAGTAACAAAGATAAAACAAGATGGCTGCTCTGAAACAGATAATAAACACAATGACTACAAAAGTAACTTTTGGCATGCTATACCGACATGAAATATAAAGATAGGCAGGCAAATAGAAATACTAGACTTACCTAATAAATAAGAAAAATAATGATAATTATGTTTTGCCTATTCATGCCGACAAAAATTACAAGTAACAATATGCAAAGTTATAATATAAGTATACCATGCTGACAACACTATTCCTGTTTCTGAGACTAAGTTATGATGGGTTAACAAAAAATGATACATCTGTCCCTTAACATTTAAGCCATTTTGGAATCTTTCCAGAACCACACATATAATAAAGTTATTGTTATGGAATATTGTCCCTATGGAAGTCTTTTTAGTATGTTAGAGGAACCACAGAATGCTTTTGGTATAGCTGAAGAAGAAGTTTTATTAGTTCTTCAACATGTTGGTATGAGCAGCATTTATCTCCTCCATATTGTCTCTTCTGGTACCTGATCATAGTTGTCCTGTTCGAGCTTGTATTCTGATCCTATGATAGAGCCCTTATTCAACATTTTAACTTAAGTAGAAACAATGGTAATGCATGTAGATTTGATACACTGGAATGTATACAGGTGATGCAATTATTTCTTTTTAATATTCAACTCTTAACCATGCAGCTCTCTCATTCCATATGAGCTCTACTTGAAGGTAGAAATTTCTGTTATTTATTATTCTTATTTGCTTGCAGCTAGAGGGATGAAACATCTACGTGATAATGCTGTTGTTCATCGTGATGTTAAACCTGGTAATATTTTACGTTGTAAAGATCCTGATGGCAGGTATATGACTCTTATATAAATCTTTTGTTTTTATTTTACATGGTTCATTTTGTCTATTCTCAGCTACAATATATAATCAAAACGATTCAATTTTAAAACAATGTCTTAGAAATAAGAATGCATCTAACATGATATATGTTATTCTAAACAGGCCATTTTCAAGGGTAGATTTAGGTCTTGAATTATCATTTTCAAAAGTACTAGAAATATATGAAAATACCTTTAAAAATACCTCAAACTAGGAATTTCACTTTCTATTTGTATATGTGTCTTTCTCTAGATATGGTAGAGTCTCGAGAAAAGATGAATCATCTTTTTAAGGCGGGAAATTGTGGACACAGATGTAATTGAAGGCTCAAATTTTGAACAATGAACTCTATTACTGATTAGCTTAGCTAAATAATTCCCGTTTCTTAGACTATTAGGCACGATTGGTGAAACAGATGATGATCCTGTTCTTATAAGTTAAATTGATTTTGGACTATGAAATTATAGGAAATATTTTGAGTATACATTTATACTAGGCTAAGGCATGAACAATATTTTGATATTTTAGATCGGTGTATAAGTTAACAGATTTTGGGGCAGCCAGAGAACTTGAAGATGAAGAACATTTTGTATCATTATATGGAACAGAGGAATACTTAGTAAGTTAAAACCTCTGTAAACTATTAAGACATTGTAATTAAACAATTGCTTGTATTTTCTTGCAGTGCTTTGATTAGTGATATATTTATGTTAATACTAAAAGTAATGTTGCAAATAAAGGGTTAATGTCTGCTGAATACCTGGATTTTTTGTCTATTTTCTCCTTCAAAGAAGACATCAGAGCTCTTTTGCTTTACAGCTTATGGCTTCTACTTCTTATTTCCTTTGCAATATCTATGATTTCTGTAGTTCTATTGGTCACATGAAAAAGTAGACAGATATTGCCGTCGCCCTGTCTGTCTGTCTGTTCTTGTAGGCACAATAGAGGCTGCAGTTTTTATCTTATATTGATGAAACTTGGTATGTAAGTTTATATTGATGAGATAGCGGTCAAGTTAGAATCCGGAGTTGTTGTTCTTGTCCTTGTAAAAATGCGTCAAATTTGGCTTGAAGGCAAGATAGGCAAAAGTTTGAACTTGTTAATAATCGGATATATGGTTTGGGAGTTATTGCTCTTAACTCTTAACTTTGGCTTGTAGACAGAATGGAGGCTATATATTTCATCTGATCTTGATGAATATACATGTATATATTGATGCGATCACGGTCAAGTTCGAATTTGGTAATAATCGGATGAACGGTTCAGGAGTTATTGCCCTTGACTTAAAATGGATGTATATATTGAGGAGATCACAGTCAAGTTTGAAACTGGTAACAATTAGATGAACAGTATCAGAGTTATTACCCTTGACCTAGTTGAGACACATCAAATTTGGCTTGTAGGCACAATAGTGGCTACAGTTTTTATCCAATCTTGATGAAACTTGGTCTTGGTGTATATATTGATGAGATATTAGATATAATTGGATTATCGGTTTTTTGTTTGTGAGGCTTTGACTTTGTTATCATTACTGACAGCTGATAGTGGACGTGTGTTACTTTGCCTGGCAATCTCTTTATTGAAATCTCTCTTTGTTATTTATCCATTTTAGCATCCACATATATATGAAAGGGCTGTATTACGGAGGTCTAATAGTAAATTATTTGATGCCTCAGTTGATTTGTGGAGTATTGGTGTAACTTATTACCATATGGCTACTGGTAGTCTTCCTTTTAGACCTTTTGGAGGGAGACGTAATAAGGAATTAATGTAAGAAGATTTTATTAAAAAAACAGAATTTTGACTGGGTCTTGTTTTCCAGTATGTGTGAGAGTATCATATGAATATTTCGAAATATATCAAGTTAATCTGCAACTCCAAATTAAATTATTTTACTGAGTGTCTATATACATATTGTATATATACATTTTGATTTTGTTTTATAATTTATGATATTTATTCTATTGACTCATTAAATCTATGAATTAGTTACATGAAATCAAAACTGAATGATGAGAAACAAAAGGTGTGTTTTATTACAGGCATGAAATTGTGAGTAAAAAGGAAAGAGGAGTGATATCAGGTGTGCAGAGTGTTGAAAATGGTGCTATACAATGGAGTCAAACATTACCAAATACTTGTCAAATATCCAGGTAATTTTTATACGTCCGTCCACAATTGCTTGTAATCACCCAAGGATGAACCCGATTGAAAAATCAGAAGAATATAAAATATTTAGTATGAGTTATTGCCCTTGTTCTTGAAAACGTGTCAATTTTTAGCTCGTAAACACTCTAGAAGGCACAATTCTTGGTGGATTTTGACGAAACTTGGCATGGGTGTTGTATATCACCCAAGGAAAAACCCTATTGAAAATCAAAAAAAATCAAATATTAATTAGTATGAGTTATTGCCCTTGCTTTTGAAAACGCGTTCAATTTTAGCTTCTAGATGGCACAATTCTTGACGGATTTTGATAATATTATTCAGTATCGCCTCAAAGCTGCCAGTGGGCGTATATTACCTTGCCTGGCAAGCTATCTTTTTAATTGATATATTCAAGAATTTTTAACAACCCAAAGACAATCACGGACTCAGTACAATACCCCATTTAAGAATTGATTTTTCAATCTATGTAAAAAAATCTTTGCCAACAGGAAATGAGTTTCTTTTAAAAGACAGTTAAATAATGATACTCGTATATCATGTAAATAATTTTTTGTACATTTCAGTGGCTTGAAGATGTTTTTGGTTCCTCTGTTAGCAGCATTGTTGGAAATCAAAGCTGAAGAAATCTGGCCATTTGAGAAATATTTTGAAACAGTTGATACCATTTGTAATAAATGTATTGTAGATTTATTCTGTCCTATGCAAAGTCGATATATAAAAATCTATTTAGACCCTGAGGAAAAGTAAGCACGATCTATTTTAATTATATTGATGAATATTTCTTGATATAAGTGAAAAGTAGGATGTAAAACTGCATATTGGCTTGATTTCAGAGGCAATTGAAATTGATTAAAGAAGAGTAGATAATTGCTTTGTGTAAAATGTTCCCTTTTCTATAAGCACAATAAGTGCCAAATCTTTTGGTATTTTTAGACTTTGTTCGTTACAAGAATGTGTTGCTATGGAAACCAAGATTAAGCAGGAGAACCAAGTGTTATTAATAGACAGTCAACCATTAGAACTAATGATAGATGAATCCTTACCGATCAAAAACTATCCAGATTACATAACTTATTTCAATCCTATCTTAGTTTTCAATAAAGAAAATAAATTTAGTCCTTACCCAGATCCTGTATATATTGGTGAGTCATTACCGCATCCATCCATCCATCCATATTTAACTTGTGTTCACTCAACTGGCTACAATTTCCAGCAAATTGTTTTCAATTTAGATTTGTGGAGGTGTATTCAATATGGCTTTCTTGTAATTTGAAATCATTTTAATCTGAGTTTGAATGCATCAATGAATATATATCATATTTCAGGATTTGATTTCAATTTGTCTTTGTAAAATTGGAAATTGAAAATTATTATGTGTTGATGCAGTGAATATAAGATAATGTATTGTTTTCAGCTCCATTTCCTAAAGTACCTGATGGTATACAGTGTAATAATGAGATGGATTATAGAACATCTCGCCTTTGTTGTAAGATAGCACATGCTGTATTAACAGCTACAGACAATATTATACATTCAAATATAATGTTACATCATTCTGTTAAACAATACAGGTATGTATATACATTATTCTGTTAAACAATACAGGTATGTATGTACATTATTCTGTTAAACAATATAGGTATGTATATACATTATTCTGTTAAACAATACAGGTATGTAAGTACATCATTCTGTTAAGCAATATAGGTATACATCATCCGGTTAAACAATACAGTTATGTATGTACATCATTCTGTTAAACAATACAGGTATGTAAGTACATCATTCTGTTAAACAATATAGGTATACATCATTCGGTTAAACAATACAGGTATGTATATACATTATTCTGTTAAGTAATATAGGTATGTATATACATTATTCTGTTAAGCAATATAGGTATGTATATACATTATTCTGTTAAACAATACAGGTATGTATGTACATCATTCTGTTTAACAATATAGTTATGTATGTACATCATTCTGTTAAACAATATAGGTATGTATATACATTATTCTATTAAGCAATATAGGTATGTATGTACATCATTCTGTTAAACAATATAGGTATGTATATACATTATTCTGTTAAGTAATATAGGTATGTATATACATTATTCTGTTAAGCAATATAGGTATGTATATACATTATTCTGTTAAACAATACAGGTATGTATGTACATCATTCTGTTTAACAATATAGTTATGTATGTACATCATTCTGTTAAACAATATAGGTATGTATATACATTATTCTATTAAGCAATATAGGTATGTATGTACATCATTCTGTTAAACAATATAGGTATGTATATACATTATTCTGTTAAACAGTATAGTAATGTATGTACATCATTCTGTTAAACAATATAGGTATGTATATACATTATTCTGTTAAACAATATAGTTATGTATGTACATCATTCTGTTAAACAATATAGGTATGTATATACATTATTCTGTTAAACAATATAGGTATGTATATACATTATTCTGTTAAACAATATAGTAATGTATGTACATCATTCTGTTAAACAATATAGGTGTGTATACATTATTCTGTTAAACAATATAGGTATGTATATACATTATTCTGTTAAGCAATATAGGTATGTATGTACATCATTCTGTTAAACAATATAGGTGTGTATACATTATTCTGTTAAACAATATAGGTATGTATGTACATTATTCTGTTAAACAATATAGGTATGTATATACATTATTCTGTTAAACAATATAGGTATGTATATACATTATTCTGTTATCTTTATCAGCTTATACATAATATTAGAAAATTTGAAATTTAATTTGGAAATGTTAGTTTCACATCGAAATTATTCTATATATTTATATTTCAGTCATGAACTAAGTCAGGGAATAGAATTACAGAATGGTACTCTGAAACATGTAACACAATTTTGTCAAACAACCAATATATGGTTTGCACATTTCTTAAAGTCCATGAAATTCCAACTAACATCATTGTGTCTATTACAACAGAAGCAAGATATACCTATTTTGCAACATCTAGTCACTAGTATAGATAATATGTTAACAGAGGCACAAGACAAATTTGAAACCACTTCTAAAGAGGTAAATCTATTTTTTTATATGTTGAATATTTTTGTATCATTATGGATATTGGTAAAGATTTTATGAATTAGTTTCCAAATCTGCTACTTGATTTCTTTGATCAAACTACAATTTTGATGGCTTTTTTTTACACTAGTTTATTCAAAATTTCTCCTATAATCAATCCACAATGATAAAGGATATTATCATAGATAACCTAATTTCTTTTTTTTTAGATAGAACTAGAAATAGATTTCTTGAATGAAGTTATGGAGAAAATAACATCAACTAACACTGATACTAAACAATTATCAACAGAGTGGAATTCATCTCTAGGTTGTTTATCAGCTGATAGATGGTAGGTTTACTTTATAACATCATCTCACAATTACTAATGAATGTGTAAAACCGAAAATATTGAAAAGATGAATATGTTTTGGTCTCAGTGTGAGCAAAATTGATGGTGCATTAGTCTCCCTTGAAATTGACCTGAAATTGATAATTATATTTTGATGTACATTTGAATTGGAGATTTTTCTAGAATTCTACACTAATTTTACAGAATGAACTTTTATGAAGTACTTACAGTTGTGGTAATGAAGATCTTTTATTTTCTTCTACAGCCCTGAATTTCTTCATGAGCTAATAATCAAGTTACAAGAATCAACAAAAACTTTAAAAAATGATAGATATAAGAGGGGTCTATCACATAATGAAGAACAGATACATAAATATGAGAGGTGAGAACACAGTTTGTATCCAAGAAATAAGCAAAATGCAAAGGTTATTCCATACCTGGAATTTTGTACACACTGGAACACTGAGTAACCAGAAAGGGAGAAAGGCTGGCTTAGGCATGTCACAATCTTCAAGCAAATATTTAGCAGTGTTTGACAGTTGTGCAAACAGGTTTAGAAGGAATTAGATGTAATTTGCCCGATAACTGAACCGTCTTTCCATATTTACCTATAAAGAATATAGAAATCATGAATCATGTTGTTTCACACTGTGCAATCTTCAGACATATATGAAAATTGGTATAATGTGTACTATTATTAAAATGTAATAAAGTTATTTTTATACGCCCACATGGAATTGTTGATGTATATTGCTATTGCCCCTGTCCGTCCACATTTCATGTAAACACTATAGAGACTACAGTTTCTATTTGAATTGAATGAAATCTGGTATGATGATTTATATTAATGAGATCTTGGTCAAGTTTGATTTTTCGATGAACGGTTTTTGAATTATTGCCCTTGACTTAGGCAGAAAGTGTCAAAATTTGTTTGTGAACACAATAGAGACTACAGTTTTCATCCGATTTAAATGAAATTTGGTGTGATCATTTTTAGTGATGAGATCTTGGCCAAGTTCGATTTTGTTGATCTTTCGATGAAAGTTTTTGAGTTACTGCCCTTGATTTACGAAAAACACATCAAAATTTGTTGACTTGTTAACGCGATAGAGGTGACAGTTTATGTCAAAATTTTATTAAATAATGTGTTTTTGTTTAAATCAACAATATCTTGCACAAATTATTTTGGTATGATTTGACACAGATAGGTGACTGTCCTTGATATACTGAAAATGTATCAGGAAAGTGGGTGTATCTTCTAGGCAACACCTGTCTTCATTAGCCCATATGGTGCAGAAAAGTAGGACGTAAAACTCCATTCATTTCATTTTTGCTGGGCAACCACTTGTTAAATTATTGCCCTTAACTTAGTAAATACCGGTCCAAATTTGATCGTGAGCGCAATATAAACTACACTTTCCATTCGTTATTAATGAATTTTGGTGTGATGATTTATATTCAGTAAATCATGGTCAATTTCAAATTTGAGGAATTTTTGATGAATGGTTATTGAGTTATTGCCCTAAGTATAAACACTTCAAAATTTGTTCGCGAGCACAATACTGACTACAGTTTTCATCCGATTATAAATTTGGAGCTATGATGATTTTTTTTTATAAACGATTTTTTAGTTATTGCCCTAGACTTAGGAAAAACATTTGTTTGTGAACACAATAGAGACTACAGTTTTCAATTGATTTTAATGAAACATGGTGTGATCATATATATCCATAAGATCTTGGACTGATTCATATTTGTTGATTATTTGATGAATATTTTTGGAGCTATTGCCCAATTGTCTTCATCCGATTATGACGAAATGTGGTGTGATCATTTAAATTGATAAGATTTTAGTAAAGTTCTGATACAATGATTTTTCGATGAAGGGCATTTGAGTTAGTGCTAATGATTTAAAAAAAGAATTGAAATTAATATAAAAAATAACTACTATGTATTATGAAGATCTTTAAAATAAGTCCCTAAAGACTGTTCTTGTTTCTGACAGCTTGTAGCGTATGTTACCTTGCCTGGCAAGCTATCATGAGTTATTGCCCTTCGCGTCAAAATTATGTTGTGGGCACACTAGAAGCTACAATTTTCAATGGATTTTGATGAAACTTGGTGTGAGCATTGGGATTGATAAGATGACAGTCAAATTCGTATTTGACGATTTTTCAACAACCATTTTTTGAGTTAGCATAACTGACCCTAAATTGATGAGATTTTCAGGGTTTTTGAACTATAAATGCACAATAAAGATCTTAAATATGAGCAATTTGATATTATTATGAAGATCTCATATATTTTTGGTCAATAACGATTTAATGATCCTCTGTGACAGCTACCAGTGGGCGTATGTTACCTTGCCTGGCAAGCTATTTTATATTAAAATAGATGTGAAGTAAAAAAGATGACAGATGATATTAAGATTAGGTTGACGACTCACTGTTGTCCTGCTGCTCATAATTTATATAGTGCCTTTCAAAAGTGGTATAGGTAAGTTTTACATTAGTCTTTTATCATATTGTTTAATTTGTGTAAATCTTTACCATAATATTAGGATGATGATATGTGTTCAGAAAAGACAATGCTTTAAATCATTTAAGGTTTTGTTTTTTTTTAATCAACTATTAGATCATAAAAGCTTTCTGCAAGTAGAATAATATATCAAAATGACTTCAAATAATAGGTTGAGGTAAAGGTAATATCAAGGTATGTATATTTTCTGTATTCCAGTCAAGCTGTCCAAAATCGTGTGTTGAGTTTAGAAATGAAATGTAAAATGAATAATTTAATACAGAAGCAGAGTGCTTATTATCAGTTATTTAATCTGGTGAGCATTGACTTATAATTATAGTCTTATATTGTAATATTCCAACTTTACAACTTTATATTCATGTATTTACAACATTTTATATATTTGATTAATATTTAAAGAATTGATATTTGATATATTGGATAGGTACAAACTATTTACAACAGCTGAATATATATTTACAAAATTTCATGATTTATGAATTATTTACAACAGACTTTAACTTCAATAATAAATCATTTATTAATTCATATTTTAGTATTTGCAGCAATATCATGAGTTATTATCTGAAAATCTAACAAAAATACAAGTTGAAGGTGATAATACAGAAAATACACCTTGTATCAGTAGAAATAGTAGTGATAATAGTAATTTATTATTAAGAAGACAAGTTGCTGGTGATATCTTACAGGGGTAATGAACTTTTTTTTTTCAATAATAGTATGAAATCCAATTTCCGATAAGAAATCTAACTTTCATAATGTAATGATAAACAGCATTCCACAACCTTAATCAGTGGATAACAAATATTCAGGAAAGTTTGAAAGATTCTTTTGAAAAAGTTAAAATTCACATGATATTTAGTATGCTATTCTTATTGTTTTGGTTTCAAAATTTATAAGTCATTTCTTCAGATTGAAAACTTCCAGGAATTCTGTGGAGGAAATGGTGCAATTAGTGAAAGAAAATACTTCCATCATAGAAAGGTAGGTCAAATTGGAGTTATTCTCTTTTACACTAACAATACATGGGTAGTTACACTTTTCCTTATATGTACTTTGGGTTTAGTGTGTGGACACGTAAAAGCTTGTTTCAAAAGCTAGATAAATTTAATTTGATGTTTTTCTGATATTAATACTTAGATTGATCTTGTTTCACATGGTTAAAATGTGCTAAAGCACAGTGTCTGTGTCATTGCTCCTGAACGTTTTTTTTATATGTTGAGAATAATGTTAAACAATTTTTGGAGATTCATGAATATATGCTTATTACATAATTAATAGGAGTATTCAATAATTTACATTCTTGAGTCCATTTCAAATAGTTATTTTGCACCGAATGCGGTAGATTTATCCATACATTTTTAACTTGAAAGTTTTTAATATTTTCAGATTTGAAGCTCTTTCTTTACCAGATGATTGAGAACGAAAGAAAACATAAAAGTATAAGCTGTGATAAAAAGTCTTTCATGTTTGTCATAGATATAATGGCTATGTTGTCTTAATCAATTTATTTAACTGGCTGGTGTTGAATTCTATTATATTTATTTATAGTTTAGTTCATATGATAGTTATACATACTACAAACTTGATTATTTATAAAACATCATTTTATAACTTGTTAAAACATTTAATAAGATAAATTCCTGTTTGATATGATTATACCTCATACCAATTAATAAACTACTGTCAATGATTATATCTCTTACCAATTTAATAAACTACTGTCAATGATTATACCTCATACCAATTAATAAACTACTGTCAATGATTATATCTCTTACCAATTTAATAAACTACTGTCAATGATTATATCTCTTACCAATTTAATAAACTACTGTCAATGATTATATCTCTTACCAATTTAATAGATTACTGTCAATAATTATATCTCTTACCAATTTAATAGATTACTGTCAATAATTATATCTCTTACCAATTTAATAAACTACTGTCAATAATTATATCTCTTACCAATTTAATAAACTACTGTCAATGATTATATCTCTTACCAATTTAATAGATTACTGTCAATAATTATATCTCTTACCAATTTAGTAAACTACTGTCAATGATTATATCTCTTACCAATTTAATAAACTACTGTCAATAATTATATCTCTTACCAATTTAATAAACTACTGTCAATGATTATATCTCTTACCAATTTAATAGATTACTGTCAATAATTATATCTCTTACCAATTTAATAAACTACTGTCAATAATTATATCTCTTACCAATTTAATAAACTACTGTCAATGATTTATTTTTAATGATTATATCTCCTACTGATTTATTAGACTACTGTCAATGATTTATATTTAAGATCATTATTGTATCTCCTACTGTTTAATAGATTTCTGTCAATGATTTGTATTTAATGTAATGGTCATATTCCCTACTGACTACTGTCAATGATTTATATTTGATATAATGATGATGGTCCTATGATGGGTTTATACACTATGATAAAAATACTAAAGCACTGATTTTATTTGACTTTTCTGGATACGCATACCTCTTCAATATAATAATGTAATATACCTTAATTATAATATCTTCGTGTTATCTGTTATGTTTTTAAACCAGTATGGTTGTTTATTTGTTTATAGTGAGTAGTGATTGTTATTTATTCCGTTTTAAGAACTGGGCAATTTTAAGGCTTGAATCAATGACAAACTGTATAACATGGTCATGTACAGAAATCTGGTTTATAGCCCGTATTTGTATATAGGATCCTTACTTAATCTTACTATCGGGTAGTTAAGGTTTGGTTTATAATTAACCTTTTGATTTGCATAGCCCAGTTCTAATATTTTCTTACATGTCATAAGTTTTAGTTAAGGCACAGGATGTAAAAATAACTATTATATGTCTTTTATATAAAATTATAGTGGGAACATAAAAATGCCTCTTGACGTTAATTAATGTTATTTTGCAGTACTTAGGAGATGTTAATAACAAATTTTTTTAATTACCTATTGTTACCTATATAATAAGCAAATGTTTTATTATGTTCAAAAGATTATACAAAGAAATGACATCTTTTAGTTATATTCCTATGACAAATAGAGGAAATGGTGTACCGTTGCTGTTGGTTAGTATTATCGTCTGTGATGATCGTTACTTAATATTCATAATTGTCAAACACATTTCACAGACCAATATCATATACTTTACTATTTGTGGCTGGTACAATGATAGTGTTATACCCCCATTTCACCAAGCATTATTTTGATCCTGATAGTACGGTTGTACCCGATCATTTGGTTTTTTTTTTTTGGTTGATCGGCTGCATTTTTGCGATATAGTCGGGAACCTGCTAGCATAATCGAGTACTACCTAATATCTTCGGGGAGAATCTAGTGAGATCGCCTAAATCCTTTGAGTGTCCACTACCGAAAAAGCGATCGAGCCAGATGTTCCCGAAGGTATAAGGCAATGGTCGCAGGTTCCCGACTATTTCGCAAAAATGCAGCCGATCGACCATAAAACAAATGTTTCATAGGGGACAATTTGGCCCAGATCATGCCAATTAAAGAAAACAATCTAGGTGAAATGGGGGTATAATGCTTAAAGTTGAGGCCGAGTTGATAGCAATACTATTATAGTACTTAGCTTTCGTTCGTCGTCTAGTAGATATTGACATCCATCTTATTCAGCCAAAGAAGGATTGTAAGTGTGGGCTATGCCCACAATATTCAAATTTAGAAGGTAAAACTTATGACATGCATCATTCAAATTTTTAAATCAGGTGTAAATAAATAGAAATAATTCACCAGACAACATTAAGCTAAGGGTGTTATCTATTCAGACAAATAGAAAACTCACTCCACTAAAACGTTTTATGTAAATGATTTAATAACAATGTAGTCCAGGCGATTTTTAGAAATCTACTTTCTCTCTCCATTTTGGGTTATTTGCATGCCTATTTTTTTGGTAATTTTTGGTCTAAATTTGGAATTTGATGTCTGAAATTGCATTATCATTGGTGAGATGATGAGCGACTTAAAAGCGGAAGGCTAATTCTAAAAATAGTCCTTTTGTGAACTGCCAAACTCTAACGGATGAGTATAACTGGTAAGTAGTCTACTTTCAATTTTAGTAGCTCAAAATTTTCATGCTCATCATATACAGTCAAGTAACCTAATTTCGTGGAAACCTATTATTCGTGGATTTCCGGCAAGGATTAATAATTTACATGAGCGACCTTGCGCGACCTCCGCATTAGTTTGTTTTGATAAACATGGGTTTTATCTACAATATCAGCTAGTAGAATGAATCCAGTAAATTTAAAGCAAGGTAAAATGTAATAATGTATACCGGTACTTTGACAAATACAAAATGGCGGATTTCACTTATTACCAAACGATACCATTTTTTATCGGCCGAATTTCCTTATAATCCCAAGCGGTAATCGGAATTCCAAGTGTTGTCTGCTAGATTATATTCCAACGAATGAAGTCACGTGATCAACTAGCGGATTCCGTGTCAGCAGAAAATTTCTATGGAACACAAAGTGGGCCATATTCTTATGTTGTTTCAGTGACTTTTAGCAATAAATCACGCTACGTGTCTTATTTTGTCAGTCACTATTTTTTTTTTAAATCGTGGTTCTTTGAAGGAATTGACACTAGTTATAATGAATTGATATTAAAGATAAATACTAAGAGAGGTTAATTATACCACCCGGCATCCATACAACGTGTTTTTCTAGACTTATTTATAGATCAAACATTGTACACGAAAATGAGTGACGCATTCTGCCGCCATTGCCGAGATGGTTGCTCATGAAATATGGGTCAAAGTGAAGGATTCATAAAGAAAATTGAAATAAACCAATTTTAATTATTTTGTAGAATATCTGAGGAAACATCTATGACATAAAATTTTTTTTTTCGTTTTTTTTAACTATGACGAAATTCAGTGTTGAATCCTTATATCCACGAAAATAGGTTACACCACTGTATTGAATTTTTTAGCAGACAATGAGGATGGGTCAGGCTTTCATTCGACATATTGGAAAGCTTTCAACGAGATTTCTGGAAAAAGTTGTAGAAGGTTGAATTTCGTGTTTGAATATGGGAAGAGATGGCAAATGAATTATAGCGGAGTGAGTCCATAAGCTAGAAAACCTATTTCTAAAATGATTTGCCTCCCTTTAATATGTGATTAAAAAAGCGCTCCCTCTCGCGTGAATTTACACCTTTTTTTAAATGGCACAACAAACCAAACCAAGCAAACATATCCTAATAGTTATCGTCTACCAATGTGTATCGTATAGTATCGCTGACGTTTTCATTCAAGATTGAACTTTACTATCGATGTGACTAAGGATTGTGTCTGTGGCCCATTTGTACTAGTTTGTAGCATTCTTGGGATGCTTAATTGACCTTTTCCAGACTAATCAGTAAGAAAAAAAAATACCAACAAGACAGACTGAATTTGTACATAATCGTAATCGACGCTCTGAATTGTCATAAGATTAGTACAATAGGTCAATAGTGAAAGACTACCCAAATATTAGAACCGAACCAATTTACTGGATCAAATACTCAAGATATCTGTTCTGCTCTGTACTTATTCCAAATAGACAGAGAGAACAAGATAAACGTGGGCCCAATCCGGCTGCCTTTAAATTTCAACAGCAGTATCAAAAGCAGTGGCGGATTTTGGATTTGTTGGGCCGCAGGCAAAAGAAAGGTACAGGACCTAATTTCTCATTTTAGGGAGGGGCATGGTGTGATTATAAGTTTATGGCAGGAAGTTTGCGATCTTTTTCAGGAACAGATCAATAAGCTCATCAGCATCAATCGTATGCACGATATCGGCATTCATCACCATTAGGCTCAAAGTCAATTTAGTCGATTCTCACACATTATTTTATTAACTGTGTGATAATTTTACTGTTACAAACATGGACCGAATTTGCCTATAGTTTGCCTATAGGTTAATCCGCCTCTTCTGCAAGATTTAAATTTAGAGGGTAAAAACTCCTTTAACAGTATACCAGATACCCTAATCATTCAACGTGGAATCATATATAATAATAGCATTCACTATGAGTCAAGAATCTAAATCTGGTCAAAGTAACTGCGACAGAGAATGTAATAACTCCATCACTAATTGAAAGATCAAGTAGAAAGGCCAGGCTATTATCGTTGAAATAAGTTACGAAATTGTGAAAGTCACAGAAGAATGCCCCAAGACAGATACTGATAACTTTCGGACCTCAGTCATATATTGAGCTTCATTTTGTGATGACAGAAGCTTCCCATGAAATGTACAATTATGAAATTAAATGTTTCCTCTCAATAGCATGCAAGAACGTTGTTAATGTTGCAGCCTTCAAGCAGACACCCACAAATAATTCAATGCTGTACATTTTAATCTTATTTCTGAATTAATATCGTATTTCAA